GGGGAGAAAAGTATGACATCTTGTCATTAATTTTCTTGTCTTCCAATCCAAGTTATCATGATCCATTTGAGTCCAGTCAGCTATTCCTTCTATGTGGCAAACACTATTCTTTCTATGTGGCAAATAAACTTTTGCAAAGGTTTTAGTTGCTTTCATTATATTTCCACCATTTAGTTTTGATTTCAAAAGTTTCTTTGTAAAACCTTATTTTGAAATTAAATGATCAGTTTGTGACAAAGAATAAATGTTTTCTAAAACAGGCAGATAATTCTCACAGGCCATTAGGAAAGATGTGGGTTTAATGCTACATACACAATGCATGTAGCAGTCACTGCATCACACTGAAAAAGAATTCCACATACCTGGAGTAGAGAAAGATAGACCCAACACTTACCACCATCGGAGGTGAACATCTCCACTTAAAAGCAGGAGTAGTTTTAGGAGGAGGTTTTTCTCTTGCATTAGTTTCTGAACTTGTTTGATGTTAGAATGGATAACATCATCATGATCATTTCTTTGACTTGATTCTGTAAGAAATTGTACACTTTCAAAATTCTTAAATATTTGTAGCCTTCTTCTGGTACCTTTATTAGATCTTCATTGTTAAGATGCATTCATTATGTTCAACAATTTTGCCTACCTTTATGGCTAAGGTTGCACACTTGTGGATGCTTAATTGCAGTGAGATATGTTTACTGAGGTCTTTTGTGCTTTTTAATAAGGAATCAAGTTTAGCCTTTGTTTTTCGTAATAATTTAAAATTATCTATATAGAATAAATATGAAATTTTTACTTCTTTTTTGGCCAATTCATACCCACAGTTTGACTTGTTTAAAATTGTTGTCAGCAGGGCCCTTGATAGTACAAAAGCAAAGAGGATAATGAGTCATCTTGGAAAATTTCGTGTTTGATTTTGACATCTTCAAATTCTTCCCTATTAGCCATTCGTTAGCTTCATTTGCCAAAACTTCATTGATATGTTCATAAATTGCTGAATGTTTCTGCTGATTCCAAAAATTATGATCCATCCAGCTAATGTAAAAAAGAATTGAATGCCTTTTTGCAGTCTATCCAAGTGTAAACATATTTGCTTTTTTTTTCAAATTCTTTAAAAACAATGTCAATGTCAACTAGTCCTTCATTCCCTCAAAATTTTGGAGCACCCTTTTTTTTTTCTACAGGGAGTAAAGTATTTCTTTTCAAATCACTATAGATTTGATTTACATTTATGCCCATAAGTAACTTGTATGTTGTTGGCAAACAGGTGATGGATCTATAGTTTCCAGGCTTATTTCCCTTCTCCTTCTTACTCTGAAATAGGAATAACCTTCTGGTTGTTAGACATTTTTTATTTGTTTTCTGATGCTTCCAAAACCTTTTTCATCTGGTCTGTCAATCTCAACTGTAGATTTGTCATCAGTTTTAGCCAGAATCTATGTCGCTCATCTGGTCCAGGAGATTTTGATCTTCTCTGATTGCATTTATACCATTTTTCAGTTATTGTAATGTCTTCCATATAAGTACTTTCACTGGGTTTTCAACATACTTAATCCATGTTGGATTCCTATTGTGACTTGTATTTTCCCCACAAACCTTTATAAAACTTTATGATCTTTTCTTGTCAGGCTTTTCATTATTTGTCAGTCCTTTCCCATTTTCAAAGGTTCTACAGAATTGATGCCGATTTGCTCTAAACTGCAAAATTTGTTAGAATATTCATATTAAATTGTCATATCTCTTGATCTTCTCTGCAATAACCATGACACTTTGTTTCAGTTGTTCTATATCCTCTGCAATTCCTTACTCTTCAGGTAATACTTCACACACAGATTAGTTTTGATTTTCTTATTATTTTGTTAAATATATACGTATATATACACTGTATATTCAATTATTATGGTCCACTGCACAGTCAGGCATAAATTTAGACTGGATTTGGCATTTTTATCTACCTACCATTACTATTATTCTTATTTGTTGAGACTTTTAGAGAGGTTCGGGGGTCTTTCTCAAGGATTTTAAGAGCCTTAAGTGGCATTTAAACAGAGGCACTCTGAATGTGTTCTTCTGTTTTAAATAGACAGTTAAACTTATTTTTTATTTCATGTATTAAAATGCTTTAAATGGAGCTAGGATCTCTATTTTAAAATATTTTTCCATCTTGATTTAAATGTATTAGATGCATCGTTTGATGTTTTTCTTCTGCTTTATAACATTAAATTTGTGGCCTTCCATTGGGTAAATATGGAATCTGCAGCTAGCCAGCTGTGGTCATGACCTTTTAATATAGATGTTTTTAAAAGGGGAAATACCTTTAAACAGAAACCCGCAGAATCAAAAATTCCTTGTCCTAATTACCAGTTGACAGTGTTATTGTACGGGTATTCCACTTGCAAACTTCTCCACTATTTGTTGTTGAGCACTTTGCAGAATGCTGAATTAGATTAGCTTTTGGTGTGACCCAGGGGTGGGATTCTACCAATTCGGGCCAGTTCTATAGAACCGGTTGTTATGATTCTGTGCAGTTTGGAGAACCGGCAAATCGCACCACTGGCTGGCTCCTCCCCTCCCTACCCGCCCCGCCCAGGAGGCTTTCCTGAGGCCCAGTCAGGGGTAGTATTCAGGGGGTTGTGGGAGGGAGAAGTGGCCTGAGAGCAGAGCTGAACCTTCCTTAGGATTGAAGCTTCTATTTTTCAGTGCAGACTCAGGCAGCAGATTGCAGAAAGGTAGATCTGGGAATGAAGCTGTGATTCTGCAAGCAGCTCAATCTGCCTGCCTGCTTTGCCTGATTTTGGGTAAAAGTTTCTCTTTTTTAAAAAAAAAATCAATCTTGACATATATATTTACAATATTTACATACAAGCCATGCCCAGCCAGTCACATGACCACCAAGCCACACCCACCAATCAGGCCACGCCCACAGGACCAGTTGTTAAGAAATTTGAATCCCACCCCTGGTGTGACCCAACAGGGCTTTTCTTAATTCACATAACCCCACCCCCTTATTATGGTAAAAGACCAGAATAAAGCAGTACAATATACAAAGGATATAGTTGTTTAAAACTAATATGAAAAGCAAAGGAAGATACTATGTAGGGAAAACAAGACCCATCATAGGAAATCCAGGCCTAAGAACGAATACGTTAAAATATGGTTTTAATTTATATTTTTACAAAAATTCACATATGTGCATTTGTGCGGATGTGTATAAGAGTAGTACAGAAAGCAACTAAGTTTAACCATAAATATATAAAGCAAGTAAGTATAAAAGCAGGTGCTGAAAGGAGATGGACAGGGAAAGGGAAATGAAGAGCAAAAACGGAGAAGAGTTTTTCTAATAGCAATAGCACTTATATACTGCTTTACAGTGTTTTTACAACCCTCTCTGAGCAGTTTACAGAGTCAGCCTATTGTCCCCAACAATCTGGGTCCTCATTTTACCCACCTCGGAAGGATGGAAGGCTGAGTCAACCTTGAGCCTGGTGAGATTTGAACTGTCAGATTGCAGGCAGCTGGTTGCAGCAGAAGTAGCTTGCAGTACTGCATTCTAACCATTGCAGCACTGAGGCTCTTACTTGCTAAAGTTGCTTTATGTTTAAATCGCATATCACACATACAGAATGAACAATAACTCTCAAACAACTTTATAAACAAGTAAGGTTCAGAAAATGGGGCTCTTGTTTTATTTCTTTTTCTGTTTGTTTGCACCATAAGGAACATGTTAACTAAAATTATGAGAAATTGGGTTGGCCAATATAGAAATGGCCACAGCTAGAATAATGGCTGGGATAATACATAGCCAGAAAAAGCTTATGAAGTGGATTTAGGCTGGAGCACATGTTCAGAAGAAGCCTGAGAAGAGAGAGGAGCTAGACAGTAAAAAATAACTTTGGATTTAGAATATAATCAATGACCACAGTCTCATATTGTGCTAAATTATGTGTTTAGAACTGGTGTGTTGACTAAGCACATTTCTGAGGCAGCATCACAGATTATGCTGTACTGTAAATCATGGTTTAGAAATTGATTGGTTCCAGAGGTGGTATTCAACAGGTTCTGACCAGTTCTGGAGAACCAATAGCGGAAATTTTGAGTAGTTTGGAGAACTGGCAAATACCACCTCTGACTGGAGATTTTACAGTATCCTCCTCCTGCCATGGCCACCAAGCCACGCCCACAGAACCAGTAGTAAAAATTTTTGAACCCCATCACTGATTGGTTCATACTATGGTAAAATTCATGTTGTGTTTTAGGTTGATGTGGTAACCTAGCTACTGTTGGACATAGCAAAAGAGCTTCTCATTAAAATTGTAACCAGCCTGCTAATAGCTTTTTGCTGGGATCCAGTTTTCTTTAACAGAAGCTTTTTCCGAACCTGGTGCCCTCCAGATGTACTGCAACTGCAATTCCCAGAATCCCCAGCCTATCTAGACTGTGACTGTCCTGACTTGGAATTTTAGGAACTTTATTTCTGGCACATATGAAGGACACCAGATTGTGGGAAATGGTTTTGTAGAGACAATATGTTTCCGAATGCCTCAGGAGAAGATGTTTCATGACCATGACCAGGAGAGAGCAGTTTAATGATGACCTTGAAATAATCTGACAGTGTTTTGAAGGAAAGAGAATTTATGACCAACCTGCAAGATACATTTTATGAAAGCTCAGTTTTAAGGAAAATAGAGCAAACAAATTAGTCCCAGATCAGTAGACCAAGAGTGAGTACTGATTTGTTTATTTTTTTTTACAAAAGGACTGATTATTAGCAGAAAATCTCTGGAAGAAAGTTGAACTGTGTCTGACAAATATTCTACAGTACCAAATGAATAATTTGAGCAAAGTTAGGCTCTGGGGTTTATTTTTGGGACTTCCCCTGTAAACAATAATTAACTTCCAAACCAAGTAAACTGGTTCTGCTTTGTTTAGGAAACTCTCTTTGATCTCCTAAATCTTCCCTGGTAGCCTCACTTTCATCAGTTCCGTTTTCTGTCTCCATCCAGGTCATAGTGGAGCCTATTCCATTGGAGACTCATGACCTTGATGAGAAGGTGCTAGTGAAAGTGGAGGAGAACCTGGATCTTGACGAAGAAGCAGCTGCTCTGATGGTTTTAATGGATGGCGGAGTGAAGGAAGAGACAGCTCCTCCTGAGAAGTCTTCTCCGGAGAAGGAATCTATGGAGGCCGACCTGCAACAAGACGGAGATAGGCTACTGAAGAAGGAAGGCCAGTTATCTCCCAGCCTGGTGTCTGTTTCTCTTGAGGGACAGCCACAGAAGGGGAAGAAGCCTAAAGTCTTGGAGCTTCCTTCATTGCCAACTCAAGAGAAAGTGAATGCAGCTGTTAACAGCCTCCTGGCACCAGGCGGGACGGGAAGCACCTTGACACCAACCACAGTTATTTCCTCCCATGCACTGGTGAGACCATATTTTTCAGCAGGTCTTACAGGATTTTGATCTGTTCCCATGAGCTAGGGATGCAACTGGGGATCCCATTCCAAAGTTAAAGGGATCTGGGTTTTTTGTTTTTTTGTAGTGGATACATCTAATTTGAACGCGATGCTTACTCTTTCTTTGGAGCGCCAGGCAGAGAAACAGACAGACCTATCACACTGTTTCTTGGGGTTGGGCGGAGATTAGCAGTAGCATTTAAGTCGCAGAAAATAAAGTAATGAATAAAAAGAATTAAAGGCAAGAGATAACAGAGAAGAAAAAAACATATAATTATTTCTAATTTGCTATTTACTTTTGGGTGGAGGTGGGTGCCTTCGAGTCAGTGGTGACTCCTGCTGACTGCCTGGAGATGTCCTGCAGTATTCTTGGCAAGATTTCAGAAGTGGGTGAGCCTTTGCCTCCCTCCTAGAGTTGAAAGTGGCTCAAGGTCACTCAACTGGCATTTTTTTATCTAAGGCAGGATTAAAACTCATAGTCTCTTGTTTTCTACCCCGATAACTACTGCGCCAAACTGCTCCATCCATTCACTACACCCCTTCTTACTGTTCTTTCCTTACACTGTAACCTTGCTTCCACCACATCCATGCCTTGATTCGTACATTGTCTTTTTTGTGCTTTAAACTTCTCATCTTTCTCGTTTTGAGAACCGCATCAGTTCTCTCTCGCCCTGACTCTCAGATTTCCCTTTCCTCTTGATCCAGTCAAGAGGAAACATCGCTTGGACACATCGCTCTTAATCCCACCTGCCTATCAAAATGCCTCCACTCCCCTTTCTGTAACGTTCTCTACACAGCTCTACAGTTTCTCTCTCCTATCATCACCACCATACATAGAACTAACTGTCTGTCTGCAACCCGCTTCATGGCCAGTGCTTGGCGTATAATGCGTGGTTTGGCCTAGTTATTTAAATTACCTAGCTGCTTAGAGAGGCACACCAAACTGAGGAAGATGTGTTTTTCTATTGAAATTGCCATGAGAATATCGGTCTCCTCTCAGAAATTAAGAGAGCGCTATTCCCGTGGCAAAAACTTTTTTAAAAAATTACATGAATTCCATCCCCCTTAAGGAAAGAAAAAGCCCACTTCCTGGGTGATTCAGCTTGCCATGGTAAACGCTCAGTGAACAAACAGAAATAATACAAATCATAAAAATGAATACCTTATCCTACCTTACCCTGCTACATGTTGAGAAAAGTGATTGATGGTTAGTTTTACCATTGATAGACAATACTGGGTGGGTGAAGAAGGATAGCAGGGAACCCACCAATCATTCCCCTAAAACAACCTCACATTAAACTGCATGTAGGCTTTGAAGGAAACATGTCAACGTACTTCCAATTCAAGAATTGTAGGAAAGCACATTAATGTAGCTGATTCATACTCTCTATGTGAACAACTCGCCTCGTTGTACTTCTTTAACAAAGGCACTTACTTTTGCTTTCCTCATATATCCTTTCATCACTCGTCCATTCCCTTTTCTTAAAAAACATTTTTTTTAAAAGTTATTATAGAGTATTATAAAATACAAAATACAAAAGTAAGTAGAAGAGCAGTGACGGGGGAGGGGAAAGGAGAAGAGAAGTGAGAAAAGATGGGGGGTGGGGAGGAGAAAAAGAAGCATCGACTTCCGACTTTCTCTGTTGTAGTAAAATAAGGCATTAACAACAAATCACAGCTTTTTGTTTTTCCCTAATAGTATGAACAAGTCATTTCTATAAAGATCTATCAATCTGATTTGTAAAACCCCAAGTCAGAGTTTCATTCTTTTCTACATCAAGTTCAGAAGCGGTTTCCATGTGGAAACAAAAGTACTTATGTTCTTTTCTGTAATCAAAGTAATCAGTTTTGCCATTTCAGCCAACTCCATCAACTTCTGCAACCATTCTTCCACGATACGAATCAAAGTGTCCTTCCATTTTTGTGCATACAATAGTTTTGCTGCTGTCAACATATATACAAAGCTCCAAATTTTTTCTTCAGTTCTTTTTTCCTCAAACGAAGAGGAAAAGTTCTTTATTCATTTTTATCTCAGTTTTCAGAATTTTCTGTATTAAAATATGAATCATACTCTACATTTTTTTTTGCTTTATCACATGCCCACCATAGATAATAAAAAAATCCCTTCTTTATTTTTACACTTCCAACATTCATTTGACATGCCTTTGTACATCTTAGATAACTTACCTGGTGTTAAATACCAATGATACATCATCTTATAGAAATTCTCTTTTAGATTATAATTTAATGTAAATTTTAAACCCTTCATCCACATAATTTTCTCATTGTTCAAGCATCACAGTATATGCAAAATTCCTTACCCACTGAATCATACAATGTTTTTACATGTTCTTTTTCCAAATTCAATTGCAATAACATTGTACACTTTCACGCTTCTTTTGTATCTTATTTTCCACTGCACTCAAAGTACTTCTTCTGACATTTCCAACACTCATATAATAGAGTGTGCAGAATCATGCTTTTGTACATAGCCATGTTCACTTCTTTTGATAAGCATTCATTTCTTGCAAATGACCATATATTTATCATTACTTTTCCAACAGGATGGGCATATCTTAAAAATTTACAGCCATTTCCTCATATTGATAAACATTCACTAAATATGCATTTATCTAGTTGCTCTTTTTGCCCTTTATGTATTAATTGCATATGTTTATTCCATTGCCCCTACATCACATGCTATGTAACGTAACTGCAAATTTTTCGGTTTCTCAGCCAGTAAATGGGATTGTCTACACACAAAGACATGCATATTCATTTCTCTGATAGCGCATCTCTAATACCACCACAACCCTTATTTATTAACTTACTTCATTTCTGACCCACTTTCCCTCCCACCACCCCGCCAGTGGTTCTAGGTACAATATCAGATATTCTCTTGCTCTGTTCTTGGTGTTGAATGATTCAGGAAGCATTTAATATATTTTACTTGTACACCACTCCTGTGGCATTCAGCAACCTTCTTTCAATTCCACATTCATGGAAAACATTCCATACTTGGCACTTATTTATCTTACACTTTCCCTCAATTAATACATTTGAATTAGACTTTCTCATGTTCATATATTTATCAAGGATCTCTGCCCAACAGCAAAAACCTGAATCCTCATGTTTCATGTGCATTCCTCCTAAATTAGCAAAGCGTATGTTGACAAAATTGCACTCTTGTGCCAGCATGTCGACAAAATTGCATTTGGTGCCAGCAAATGGTGCTGTCCTTACAGCTTTAATGTGGGACAGTTTAAAGGCATCAATTGATCCATTCTCTGATTTTGTTTTTTCTTCTAGCCAGCATTATGTACCTGAAAAGGGGGGGGACGGGGACTGCAATCACTTTCCTTAAGATGTGCATTGATTGGTAACTTGAGTTACTTTTCAAGTTCCCCAAGTGGTAACTCATTGCCGTAGTAGTAGGAAACAGGTTGCATATGAGAAGCAGTGCAGGCTGAACCCTAGGCATGTTGGAACAGTTTTCTCTGGTTCCATCTTGTGCAGCCTGTCAGTTGGACAGGTTGTTTTTTTTAAAAAGAAAACACAAGCTTTTAATTTTTGCAATTATCTTTTACTCCCTCTGCATATTATACTCTATACTGTACTTCTTTATTTCATCCCATTTTTGCCACAATAATTCTCTGAACAATTTCTCTTACCCAGCCTCTTTCAGTTCATAACTCCACCAAGCATCTTTTTTTTCATACTTTCCCTTCTATACACTTTGTAATTGCAACTTTTTCTCTCTCTCTTCCATGCGGTTCTCATGCCCTCTTTCCTCATGTTCCTTGTCCATTTGTTCTGCTGGGAGGCTAAGCTAATATTTTTAATACATTTTTTTTCATATCGTTTACATTTCCTGCAATTGTTCTTTTACTGGCTTTGTTTCCTTCCATGTACATTTCCCCCAAGATCTACTCTTAATAATGGTCACTGTCTTAGTTTTTCATCGGGTTTTTTTTATTTATTCCTTTTCCATGATAGTTACAATACTTCATATGTCTTTTGAAGAGATACTCACTAGTTATTTTTCTTATTTATTCCTGGGTCTCCTAACAGCCCAATCACATTCTGTACTCTCATTTTATTTCTATCTATCCACACATCCATGTCCCACTCAGAATAATTCCTCCCATCACATCCATTCAGAATGTTGCACAATTTTCTCCAAATGCATCCCTGATGAATAGAATAGAATAGAATAGAATAGAATAGAATAGAATAGAATAGAATTCTTTATTGGCCAAGTGTGGTTGGACACACAAGGAATTTGTCTTGGTGCAAATACTCTCAGAATACATAAAAGAAAAGACACATTTGTCAAGAATCATAAGGTACAACACTTAATGATAGTCATAGGGTACAATAAGCAATCAAATCATACTAGGAAACAGTCAATATAAATCGTAAGGATACAAGCAACAAAGTTGCAGTCATACAGTCACAAGTGGGAGGGGATGGGTGATAAGGAGTGATGAGAAGATTAATAGTAATAGTGCAGATTTTGTAAATAGTTGGACAGTGTTGAGGGAATTATTTGTTTAGCAGAGTGATGGCTTTTGGGAAAAAACTGTTCTTGTGTCTAATTGTTCTGGTATGCAGTGCTCTGTAACGTCGTTTTGAGGACAGGAGTTGAAACAGTTTATGTCCAGGATGTGAGGGGTCTGTAAATATTTTCACAGCTCTCTTTTTGACTCGTGTAGTATACAGGTCCTCGATTGAAGGCAGGTTGGTAGTAATTGCTTTTTCTGCAGTCCTAATTATCCTCTGAAGTCTGTGTCTGTCCTGTTGGGTTGCAGAACCAAACCAGACAGTTATAGAGGTGCAGATGACAGGCTCAATAATTCCTCTGCAGAACTGTATCAGCAGCTCCTTGGGCAGTTTGAGCTTTCTGAGTTTGCATTTCCTATTGATTTTCAAATCAGTGGAGGATTGTGAATTCCTGTTTTCACAGATCTCCGAAAGAGTCTAAAAGGCATCAATGCATTCTTCTGGATGTACACTTTAGCCATTTTGTTCATAATTAAGCATATACCTCCATGTATGCAGCAACTCCACTCCGCAAGTCCAGATCACCTTCATTCATCTCTATTACATCTTTCCCATTTCTCTTTGTTTTCATACAAAAAGTGTATCAGTTTTTCTTTCATTCACTTCATAACACTTTTTACCATTTACTTCTCTTACATGCCAAGTGGCAATCTTCTATGTGCTGTTGACCACATATCACAAGTAAATTCTGTCAGGCCAGTTTTGGGTGAACTGTTATAATCCATTTACAGGTTCGGTGGATTGGATTGGTGTAAAAAACTTAAAAATTAGAAAATAAAAAAAATGTGGTTACTCCATGAATACAAAAATATTGATCTCTACAACTAATCAAGGCATTCACACAATACACAAGATACTTACAGTATATTAGTATTGCCTGCTGATACTCATAGTTTTGCCTGCTGAAAGGAAAGTTTGGGAATAGTTTAACATGGGCAGTCAAAACCCATTTTTATCCCCAGACACGTTCATGTTCTTCTCTGCAAGCTTCTCTGCAATCTGGCAAGCCAGCATGCATGAAATGTATATGCAGTGTGACATTCTCTTGTTTTAACATACGTTCTGCTGAGTTTTAAGCTGTTCCCCAAACCTGGGATAGAACCTGGAGGTGCTTTCCAAACTGCAGGGGGCAAGCCTGATTTGAATAGATTGCTTAAAATTTCTTTCAAGATTATTATTTTTATTTTTATTTCATCATCATCATCAATATCTAAGAGCTATACCCATACAGTAGGACAACTAGGGCCTTCAGGATCAGTTCTGCTCCCTGAATAGCAGCAATTGATTTTTTTAACTTACTAGACCAGACACAAGAGAAATCTGAGGAGATATTCTGGATATGAGAAAGGAGTCTCTGATAGGTAAAAAATTATAGTTTTATGGTCTGACACTATTGATTAAGTCCTTTCACTGATACTTTTACCTAGATGTTTCTGAAGAGGCTTTTTAAATGGCCATTATGATTAGAAAATCCCAACTTCATTTAGTATTGGTGACTTTTGAAAGTTGATGTCTACTGACAATTGTACATACCTTACCTGCTGAGGTGGAGATTGGAAAAATGGTTTGCCAAGTTCCAAAAATAGCTTGCAGCTGAATGATAAGCCTGCAAGTGGTAATGTCTATCAAACAATGGTTATGTCTGTGAAATAATAATGCATAATTTTAAAAAGTATGTCTTTTCAATAATAAATCATGATAAAGACCAAAGTAGAAAGCTGATACACAGCACTGATGCTTCTCTGTATGCAGAAAAGGAAAATGTCTCTTAACACCTGTAAAAATATGAGAATATTTGCAAGGGAAGAGTTCCAACTCTTTCCTTCAATTTCTTTCCTTGTCTTCTTCCTGAGAACCAAACTTGGAAAAATTGGCCAATGGAATAAGTGGCTGTTTTGAAAAATTGGGGTATTGCTACTTTTCTTTTTTTTTAAATATCCTTGTTGTTTTATTCTGATCTTCTTTGCAGACTCCAGTACTGCTCACCCCAAGTTCCTTGCCACCCACCATCCATTTCTGGAGTACCCTGAGCCCCATTGCACCACGTAGCCCAGCCAAGCTTTCCTTCCAGGTATGGTTTGAAATATACATTATCTGTGAGGGGAGAGAAAGGGTGTCTGTGAGGGGAAGGTAAAAATTGAGATTGGGGTCACACATAATGTATGGATTTGAAGTCATAATTTCCTGAGAGAGTGGAAGAAAAGTCAAGTTTGGCTCATAAAAGGAACATATGAAAGCTGTATATATTAGGGATGTTTGCAGGCCTCATTAGCAAGTATGGAATAAAGAATTGGTTTGAATTGGGAATTAACTTGGCTATGTTTTTGGTATATGGCAGGGGTCTTCAAACTTGACATCTTTAAGACTTGTGGACTTCAACTCCTAGAATTCCTCCTCCAGTCATGTTAGCTCAGGAATTCTAGGAGTTGAAGTCCACAAGTCTTAAACTTGTCAAGTTTGAAGACTCTTGGTATAAGGCATATTTTACCAGATACTTATATATATATATAAACATTTTACATAAGCACATCAGTAAAATATAGTCATATCTCATTATAATCATCCATAGCCGATCTGTGTCAAGATCTGATGTATTCATAAGTTACTAATAATATCAGTTTTGCTAACCAATTGAGTAATTGGAGCTCTTACCTTTCCAATGCTGAATGAATCTTACAGCTATTGGGAAGACATGGGCAATCCACATATTTGGGTCCAGATATCAGCTTCCATGCAATTGGAATGTAATTCAAGAAGGATACAAACATTCTAAAATAAACTTGATGGACCTCTTTGTATGTTATTTTTAATCAAGTCAAGCGTGGACCTAATGTACAATACAAACTTGACAATATGTTCAACAGTGGGATTACCAAATATTAGTTTCAGCTCCCAATAGTCCTAACTTTGTTCTGAATTAATTTAATTTAATTTAGAAATGACTCTGGGCAGTTTGCAATACTATAAAAATTAAAAAAAATATTTAGAAAAGAATATAACTAGCAAGAGATAAAGAAAATAGATAAAAGAAGAATGGAGGGTGTCAAATCTAGCCAACAACAAAACTCACAAGGGGTTCCAGTCATCCTAACTTAAGGCCTGGGAGAACAGCCAGGTCTTCAAGGCTACTGCTTTTTTTTTACTTTTAAGAATGGCTTTTGTTGGAAAGCCAATGTTTGTGTATGTGGTATGCATGTGTGGAGCTTTGGAATAAGGAAGGGAGAAGATGGAGTATTTCAACACTCACGTTTCAAATCATGCCCTTTCAAAACTGTTTTTTCATAGGCTACGCAATCATTAGGCAGTTCCTAAGCTTTTCCCTCTTTCTCTTTTCAGTTTCCCAGTAATTCTAGCTCACAGGTTCACATCCCGTCACTCAGTGTGGATGGACTCTCCACTCCTGTAGTCCTTTCTCCTGGTCCCCAGAAGCCATAATCTTTCCTCTGCATCACCATATCCTCTACTCCTGCCAAAGAACTGGCTTGAGTCTTTTTTCAAGTACTTGGGTCTACTTCAGCTAGACAGCTATGTTGTCCCTTCGTTAACTGGAAGAACCCTTTGATGATTCAAGCCGCGTCAGCTTGAAGAATGAAAATGGCATAGCAAGCAGATTCATCCATTAATCTTTGATCTGCCAGAATTTTTCTTTGAAACCAAATGGTGTTTTGCTGGTATCAAGCACTTGATGTGTCGCACTTGCTTCTTGTTGCAAAATTCAGGCAGCCCTCAAATATGTCTGTGAGGGCAATGAGAATATAAGCTTTATCTGGTCTCCTCTCCAAGAGGTTGCCCTTATTTGACACTGTTGTGGCAATATGGCTTTCTTTATCTGTCCCCTGTGGTGGTAGTCACTTTTAATAACAGTTCATCTGATGGTCCAAGGTCAAGAAGGCTGCCAATGTTCATCCACTTTGCAAGATAAATCAAGTATCTCACTTCATCTCTACCTTTTTTTTTTCCTGGCTTACTTTTAGCTTAGTTATTATTAGAGAAGTAGATCCTTCCAGCCAGGTTCATGTTAGGAGTATACAAAGAAACCAGTGCCAGTCCTATTTGTTTTGTCTAAATATGGACAACATGTTGATATGCAAGCCATTTTTGTTTTGGCAGGATATACAGTCATAAGGAATTTTGGTCAGCTTTGATCTTGGATGGATAGGTGTGGGAGTGCCATAGCGATTCACATCGGTTGCAGGGGAACAAAGTAGAAAAGAAGAAGCACTGTTGATCATGTTTCTTCCAAGAATACTGATAAGTCATTATTGTATCTGATTTAGCTTCATAGGGGAAAAAAATAATGGGATGTGTTTGCTGTGCAACACAGTAGGAATAAACTGTCAGCCATCTTCTATTTGACCAGCAAAAGCAACAACATCAGTTGCATTTAGTTTAAACTCTGTTGATAATGATTTTTTTTGACTCGCTGAAGTAGGAATGTTTCTGATATTTCTTTGGGAGAAAAATTCTCCATCTGACACCAAGAATATATCTGGGGAGGTTTCGATCATTTCCCCTCATTGGTCAAAAGTCACCGATGCGTCAACATGGAGACCAGAGAATGAAGTCTGCTTACAGAATTCAAGACCTGTTTTTTGAGGGGTAGCAGAATGGTTTCCTTAATTTATTTCCTGGCGATCAGAGGTCATGACAGAAATGGCCAAAGGGGAAGTCTTAACCCTCTTTATTTTTGACTGCTTTTTATGGTTTCGTTTCTGTCATCATAGAAGAAATGTCAGGCATCAGCTATTATGGTGGGAAATGTTAATTACAGATTGATCCTGATCTCACATACCTCTCCAGTTTTCTTCCAACTCTTGAGTCATCCTGGAAACAGCAGTGACAAATCCACCATCTTAACAATCTCTTCAATTCCTGGAGCCAAAAAAGCTTTTTTTTTTAAATGGAAACAGTGGAAATGGTATATTTCTATAGTTCCACATTTTATTTCAAGTGCATCATAAAGAGACTCTGCAAAGGGCTGTGTCTCTTTGTCAGTGGGTTTATTAGAACTCATATATTCAGATGACAAAAATTTCATCACTAGTTTATTGTGGGGTATTTTTGGAGGTTATCCATAAGAATTTGTTAAAGCCACAAAAGATATGCTATTTCAGAGGTGTCAGCCAATTACTAATCAGAGTTCCTGGCACCTTATATTTTTTCACAGAGTATCTATATCTATATATCACAATTTTATCTATTGTCAAGAGAGTTGTATTAAGAGAAAAAGAGATGGTTAAGATCTATATTTATCTTTTCATCTGTCCATTTTGATAGCTATTTTTTAAACCACAGGATGGGAGTGAGAGAAGATTCTTTTAAAGTGAAGTTGGAAAGCATTTGGCTCTCTAATTGTTTGTATGTACCTGTGTACAGATTTTGAAATGAAAAGTGTGGAGAAATGTGGTTTTGAAATTATTCCCAGTAGAGTTTGTAATGGAACGTCAATAATGATGGACCAGGTTCTCTTTAAGAGCAATTTCCAACTGCGATGGTTGAAGATCTCAAGTCTTAGTTCAAACTATTGAGAAGATACCCCAGTCTGAAGCCTTTTCCAGGGTGGAGACCTGGGTGTTCCCTAAAGTGTTCCTTGGAATCCTTGGTATCGTTCCAGGAATACTAACAGTTACTGAGCAGTTCCTTAGAATATGGATAATGAAAGTGGGCTCTATAAGAGCAGATAAACACATTAATACCAATAAGAAGGATTAAAGCAAACGTTTGATGAGGTGGTCAGGCCAGACTCTGAACCTGGGTATGAGAAAATCTATCATTGGAGAATGACTTCACTAAAATTAGCGATCACTGGGGTTTAGATTAGAATGTCCGAAAATCTGTGGGTTAAAATCTTGCATATGAATCAGTCATGATGCAAATAGGCAGCAGGAAAGGGACCCAGTTAAGAAAGCAAAGGAGGAATGTGCCTGTATATCTTTTGGAACTAACAGGCTTACCTCCTCACAATTTGTACTGTACTCCCAAGTGATTTTTCTATGCTCTAGCAGAAGTCTCATTCAGTATGTAAAACTTTAATTAAATTACCTGGGAAACTGAGTGCAGAGAGATGAGCTAGGAGCAGGATTTCACCTTCTATATGCCAGCTTGCTTTTAATTCACTCCCTGCTCCAACTTTTCTGTGGGATTGGTGTAGAAGTAAGTTTAAAAGATATGTTACAATTATGCCCACTGGAGCTCTGTTGTAATTTTGAAGTGATGGGATAGAATCTGATTTCATAGGTAATTAAGCAAGTCTAACTGGATTTATTCTGGCGAGAAAGAGATGAAACTGAGTAGGAGATTCAAGATTTAATCAATATTTTAGATACCGGATTTGGGAAGGCTTCAAAAACACATGTTTATAGCCAGAAAATATGGTTTATTTTTAATCATCCTATTCTGTAGCATTAATAATAATGATGATTATATTTTTGTTGCACTTCCACATTGCCTCCTCCTGGGAGAAATCTAAGTGCTTTATCAGAGGTGGTTTACAGTTTTATTTAATAAATTAGGCACTTTGTGTAAACAGCAATCTGCAAAACAATCAGGTACAATTCATGGGTGTTACCATTCAAATCATGTGTAAATCATATGTAATTTGTATATAAGTAAATTGTGCTTTAGAGTAAACTGTGAGCACAGCATGCATGTGTATATTGCAAGCATATGTGTGTGTGTGTGTATGCAGTATACACACATACACTATACATACAGACATACATATACACACATGCATGCTGTACTCATATTCAGCAAAACAGATGGAAAAGAAGACTATATTGTGGCTGAGCACAAAGCATTTAAGCTGATGTGTAAAAAAAAATGAACAGTTATTTTGTGGCACATTTATGTAATGCCACTAGTACATCAAGAATAAGTATTCGTATTGTAATGGATCTGCAGTATACTTTCATACAATAACTTTCAGTTTTATTTTAGCCTTCCTACATGCAAGCCATGGGTAAACCATCAGTAAAATTGCAAACATTGTTTCTTGTAAACTGTAAGTGAAATGTGGTTATACTTTGAGTACACCATATGCAAACAATGAATAAGTTATGTAAGCCATTATTGACCTATGGTCAAGCCATGTGGAAGCCGATGCAAATGTTTAAACCCTTTGGGGTATGGTTGCTTTCTTAAGTCATTGGCTTTCCACATTAAACCTCTGTTTTTCTCATGCAGGTGCCATTGGGCTTGCCCAGTTTTATTGAGAGCACCCAGCAAAGTAGCTTTACAAGTATCTTATCTAGGACCAATGGCTGCTTTGGCACTCTCTGTCCTGAAGTTTGGTCTTCAGGGTTAATTGTTTTAAAGTCCTAATAGGGCTTAGGAGGGTGTGGCTCACAGAGCCAAACAGTAGCACTATGGTCCTAGGCTTCTTTCCTCACTTCAACTTGTGCAGCTTTCAGAAACTTTGTGCTAGAGTAAGACAATATTTTGTAGCCATATATTATTCCTGACACAAACAACAAAGGTATCCCTGCTATGGCAGCATGTTCAAGGAGTAATTGCAAAAGGACTATTAAACAAGATTGCAAACATTTTACACACAAACACAGAGAGAAAGAGGGGGGGGGGAGAGAGAAGCACATAGACACACACAGAGATATATAACAAATAAATATATATATTCATAATGCACACACATAGGTATATTTATATTCCTTCCATAAGTAACTCTTCAGGATTCATAGGGCTATGTATTCCTTTATCTTCAAAAAAAGGAAAACAGATAATTTAGATAATTTACTCTGAAAGTGCTTAATGTCTTTCAAGTAACATTAATAAAAATACTTGTAAGTTGATAGTATTCTCACCACAATAGTTGTGGTTCAATACTATCAAAATCACAATATTCTAACCAATTAATCTTAAATGGGGACCTTTCATGACTTACATGTTTAAGTCCACCGAAATCCATGGGTTTGCTTCCAAATTTTTTTATTGAACTGGGTGAAGGCAGTAGATATCAGTCCTTTCATAGCTTCTTCATGGTGAAAAGATGAAGTACTTTAATGAACTGTGTACTGTTTCTGCTTGGGAAAATATTAAATGAGAGAGGGAAGCAGCAGTATCCTTAAAATACTCCCCCAATTTAAGTCAGGAGTTGTCTTTCTAGATCAGATGAGCATGAAAGTACATTTTCTTTCCATTCCAGTAAAATCCTAAAATGCACAATACCTAGCATTCCTCACACTTCTCAAACAATTGGTTTGAGTGTGTTTCTCTGACAAGATTTTTTTTACAGCCATGAAATGCTGCACTTTGTCCTCCTCTTACAAGATGACATTCAAAGGGAGGTGGCTTTTGGTATAGAAGAGGGAAAAGCTATCTGTGAGAAATTCGTATTTCTACATAATGGCTAAAAACTGCAGAAGTTCTAGTTGCCAACTGGCCAACTTTTCTAAACGAGTAGGTTTAATAGGAAAAGGTGCCACTAATTTTATTAGTTATTATTAGGCAGGAATGAGCAGATGGCCATTGCCAGTAGGATGTTGAGCTCTACTTCCCCTGAAATTGTTAACAGGACATGTATTCATTCAATACTGTTCATGATGACCGTCCTAAAAGATAGCCATCCAGCCTGCACGCTTAAGACCATGTAGAAAAGGAACTTGGAAAATAAGGCAAGACTCACTCATATGTATCTAGTGAATTTCAAAACAATCCCCTTGTTTAAAACTGAAGTCTGACCTCTTCCAGCAAAGATCCAAGTTTCTGCAATAAAATTATCAAGTGAAAACAAAATTATAGATCAAATCATTTCACTTGACAAATAAAAAGCCCCAGTCTCTACCAGGGACCTTAAAGCACCATAAAATCTAATTATTTGTCATGGACTAGGGGCACCAAGTTTAATGTCAATGAACTTTCATCCCAAAAAGCTAATACCACAGTATCATTAATTTTAAAGACCCATGAAGGTTTGTGTTTCCTCATGAAAAAAAAAAAATCAGGTGATGCCATTTTCCCCCTGGATTGTACACTGGGTTTTGCTCCCATTATAAAGTGTATTTTTCTGCAGCGCGCAACTGGTACGTCAGCTGTACCATTTCTTTAATGGAATCAAAGTGGTGGTGCTAGAGAATTGGACATGGCTGTGGAGCATTGCTGTGCAACAAGAGTACAATCCAGGAGAAATTGCTCAGTTCTGTGGTTTATAAAAAGCACCATGACTTTATTTCATTCCAGTTCACATGCTGTCTACGTTCTGCAAGTCTTTCCGCTTGCATTTGGTCTTATATTTTCAAGAGGCTGCTTTTAGATGATTTTGAAAAGATGGGACTAAGAAGATAGGGTGACCCTCATGGGCCTTGAATAAAATAAAGCTGGAGCCAACCTGCATTAATTCGGCCTGGCCATTCTTGATGAAAAGGGCTAAGAGCTTGATCTGTCATTCTGCAAAGCTTCGATGGGAATGTGGATTCACATCTTTCAGGCTTATGTTTGACCACAGAAATACGACTGTAGCCTCGAAATTTAATTGGGAGTATGTCTGGGGAAAATGATGATTCCCTCCTGGGCTCTGAATGGGATATTTTGCATGGCCAATTCCAAGAATATTTAATTTATAGCAAGAGAGTGTACCTAACACGTACTACAAAACCAGAAGTGTCTTTTTTGCCTTTCTCACTTGAACATGTGGAGTCTTGATATTCAGAATTTCTTTCTTTCTCAGCAGCACTTTGAGTTGCTAAGAGTGTCAGTGTAGCAGGGAATTGGTGAGATAATGTGAAAAGAACAGGGCAAAAATCCAGGGATTTAACATTTTTGGTTGAAGTAGATATTTTGTTGGGATTCTTTTCCCATGGAGGAAGTCCTACAAGATGGTCTGGGAAATTATTTCTTTTCCCTGTTTCTCTTCCTTGTTGAACTGGTCTTGGTCCCTGAGCCAGAGGTGATAGGGATCTGTCCCTCTCTAGTTACCTCTGCACTGGGGTTTGGATCCTGTTTATTTTTATGATGAAACTCTCCGGGATCCTGCCCTTTAAATAAATTTATTTTTCAACAAAACTCATTCACTGCTGATTTCTTTTTATTTTCCGTTCCTGTTTCCTCCAGTTCTATGTGTCCCCTGGAAAGTTTTCCTTTCCCTTGGTCCATGTGATTGCTTAAATCTGTAGCACATTTACTTGTCTGGAGGAACAGCATCTATCTGATGAACCAAAATTCAACCAATGCTTTCCCTCGGTATCCTAGTGCATATGTTCCAACATATTAAAAAAACAACAACTCCATAACAGGGGCTGCAATTCAGAAAGGGCAGACACTCAGAGAACCATAACCTTATCCTGTGTTTTCATTTGGCTGATAAATTTGCTTCCATACCACAAATTTCACTTCCAAATGCTGGTGGTATAGACTATTTCATGCTACATTTTCCTAGGACAAGAAGGACAAAGTAAGTATTTTCTTTTGTCCCTAGCAGTGAGCGGGGTAAGGGTGCTCTACTCACTGGCCAAGAAAGAAGGGAAATAAGATAATTCTGGGGGAAGAGCTGTTGGGGTGCAAAACAGCCAATGCAGCTGCAACACACCAGATCACAAGAATGCAGGTCCAACCATTTCTCATGTGGGATGAGCTCTGCCATGGTGCAACTGGTGCTCTGTGCAGATCCTCCCTGTCCTGCCTCCATGCCACCATGCCTCATTTGGGAAGGAAGGAATCAATTTTACGGGGAACTGGTTGGTACCCTACCGTTTGCAACAGGACACATAGCTTGGGAGAACAGACCACAGCAGGCCAATACAAGGAAGGTTCTTCTGCCATACCTGAAGCAGTGGGGAATTCAAAAGCTTACTCTCTGAGACTACGAGGACCAAGGCTTATGGAGATTCTCAATCACCTAGGTCATGGTTGTCCCAAAGGTGCTTTTCCAAAAGGCAACTGGATTTCCTTGGGTCCTTTCCTTGAAAAAAACCTTCTTCAAAGACGCTTCTTGGATGAGAAGCAAAATGTTTTCAAGGAAAAGAACCAAGGAAATCCAGTTGCCTTTTAGAACTGGAAATCCAGTTGCCTTTAGGACTACCAGGACCAACATTTCACACACATGCGGGTTTCACTGGGGGTGGGTGGGTGGGGGCTTTGCAATTGCTACTGTGCATTCAATGGCAATGAGAGAGTTAAACAGCAGAGGTATGGACTTTTCTCACATGCTTTGGTGTTGAGAGAGAAAACAAACAGGTTTGTAGATGTATATGGAGCATTGGGGAGCTGCAAAAACTTTCTTAACAGTAGCATATTTAAAGGGGGCAAGGGCAGAATTTCTACTTCTGTCTCCCAACTGGCCTCTAATATCCGACCAACCTGATGGTCAAAAGTCAGAAGACAATGACAGAAATAATAACCTCTCAAATAGCACCATTATTTATTTATTGGATACTTGGCCTTTTTTAAGGTGCTCAAGGTAGCCTACGTAACACTCCCCTCCTCTTAGTGGTCTTCACACAGTAGCCTGGTGAGGTAGGTTGGGCTGAAAGAGAGAAAATAAGTGGCCCAAAGTCACCTCATGGGCTTTCATGACTAAACCTTGGCTTCCTCCCTCTTAGTACAACACTTCACGGTCTTCACCCCTGCGCCAGAGAGGGACCTGCAGGTTCTGACCAGTTCTGGAGAAGCGGTAGCAGAAATTTTGAGTAGTTCGCAGAGCCAGAAAATACCCCCTCTGACTGACCCCACCCCCATCTATTCTCTGCCTCCTGAGTCCCAGCTGATCGGCTGGCTTTTCTTTTATTGCCCTGCACAGGAGAACAGAGCTGGAAAGCAGGTTAGTGGGGTGGGGAGGGAATGGGGATTTTGTGGTAACCTTCCTCCAGGAGTGGGGAGGGAATGGAGATTTTACAGTATCCTTTCCCTGCCATGCCCACCCAGCCACTTCCACCAAGCCACACCACGCCTACTAAGCCACACCCATAGGACCGGTAGTAAAAAAATTTGAATCCCACTACTGCCCTGCGCTATATGCCCTCTCAGTATTGCATACATGTTACATGCATTGCAAAATGATCCTTCCAAGTCTAGCCCTAAGTGTTATCATTTCTCTTCCCCACAGCAGACTGGATATACAGAAGAAAATGAAGCACACTCAAAAGCATTGTGTGTTTGGATCAACAATATGAATGTTTATGAACCTTTGTGAGGGCAACTGACACAGGTTTTATCATGCCTTAAGGCACTAACTGGCACATGCGGTAATTATGATCCTTTCCTTCTTTCTCCTTCTTCGGCTTACCTTCATGCTTTTCGTAAGAGCACGGAGGAACTCAGAAAGAGGGAGAGAAAGGTTGCTCACATGGGATTAAAACACAAAATGCCCCTCCTGAATTGCATCTCAGCTCAACCGCAGAGGGGCAGCCTTTGGTTAAACCCAAAGTCACACTGATGCAATATTTATTTATTTAATTTGTATCCTTTATTCATAGCCCTTGTGCCTGCTGTGCAGGAAGAAGCCAGCCTGAAATGCTCCTACTTGCATTTTCTCACTGCTCTCTACTTTGAGATGGCTTTTCTTTACAATGGAGATAATGTTATGTGCCGGCATCCTTCTCCAAAAAAGCTTATCTGCTGGGAGAGAGCTAGAAACAGCAAGGCACAAGGAAGTATTTTTGCACACAGTGGTATGTTAACCCCCACCACAGGTCAAGCAAAACTGCAAAACCAGCATGACTTTTTTTTTGTTTTGAGGTAAATTGCAGGGGGAAAGGTAAAAGATTTCCTCACCCTTTCTCCCCCCCCCCCCAAAAAAAATGATGTTCATCTTGATGCAGAGACACGGAACCTTTTAAAGGTTTAAAAACTACCTTAAAAACAAAATTTTTTAGTCTGCCTCAGGCCTCACTCAATGATTAGAATTTTTGATCTGGTTTAATAATACTCAAGTGGGGGGATTCAGTTTGGTTGTTAGTGCATCTTTTGGAAGCTTAATGTACCTAGAGTAACCAGACATCTTTTATTTTAAAATACCATTCTTTATTTCAGAAAGCTGTCCTTTAGAATTGCTTAATATAATTATTTTCTTTGCTCTTCAATTTTCCTTTGTAAAGCACAGTTATAAACATTTTTTAATCCTTCAGAATATATTTCAGATTTATTCCCTTTTCAGTTTTTTTCCTTTTATTTTTTCCCCAAGAAA